TTGTGTGGTATTCTATCACTTTCAATTTGAGCAGGATTATTGGGTTTCAGCCCCCGACCTCCTAATCTGCAGGATGTTTGGGTGCCGCCGTCCAACGGCCTGCAGTGCTCTCGCAGCGACGGGCGCTGGGGCATCACCGTGCGCCCGTAGCCAGCACAGCTCATGCACCTGTCGATTTTTCTTGCGTCGTGATTCGCAAGTGCATTCGTCTTCAGGTGCCTGGGCCCGGGCCGCAGGGCAGAGAGGTGAAGTGGTTCGATGCGGCGGTCATCGCCCACAACGGCAAGTGCGCCGAGAGGCTGACGTCTTCGACCCCGGCCCATGAGGCCGCTTCTCCCGCCCGCCTTGTCTCCGAGATGTAACCCTGGGCGTGTATCTCCAGAGCGTACAATAACTACACAGGCAAACACAGGTGTCTCTTTGCTACAGGCGCACAGCTGTACATGAACCTTGAGCAGGCAGCAGGCATGGATACATGCGAGTGATACGTGAAACAGGCAGGCATCTGGATGTGATACACATTCAGTGTTTCAACCAGTGCACATATTCAACAAGCACGTAGAGCTGCATGGCGTTAGAGTCGGCTTTCTACATTGCCCGTTATTGCCCAAGATGAATTACGAGCGGAGTGACATTTAGCTACAGCTTGCAGCTTCCTGAAAAACAAAGCAGAACACGCACAATAATTCATGGATCTTCAGTTCAAACTTTGATTACAAATTGCCCACGCTATCAGTTACTTCTCCGAGGGAAAGCATACTGGATAAATGATCGTAGAGCTTGGCTTAGCTCCACTGTTGCCAGCGATGGCATAATTGCGGCTTGGAAATTGACAGAGTCGTTTCCGGTGAAAAGTATTTCTTTTGTCTCTTGGACAAATATGTTCGGAAGTTCTCTCTTGAGAAAAGCGTCTTCTCGTGAAGTGGCAGCAACTCATAGCAACGTGCCATCCGCCATTGAGATAATTTGGACTGCTTACGACAATATGCAACCAGACACTTCTGCAATGTGCTGTGGCTTGCATCTGGGTATGGGCAGTGGGGGCAGTTTACATTCCCTCCGCTCTCTTCAGCGGCCATGTGGAGATAATATTTCTCTTGAGTTTGTGCAGGTCCATGCGCTTCTGCGGACCAACTTCGCCTGCTCTCTGCCACGCAGAGAGCCCAGGCAGAGCTCAGAGCAGCTCAGCCTTTCACGTCCCAGACGTCCCATCTCAGGCAATCCGCGGCCTGGTAGCGGGAGATTCACTTTGAACCAGATCTACTCTTTGCTCTTCGAGGCGGTGGCCCTGCTCAAAAGGAGACTTGCGGATGCAAGAATCCGCAGGTTCCCAGCGGGCTCATGCCGGCCAGCTTCGACGCGGCGACTGCCACTGTGTTGTGCGGCTGTGCACTCTGTGCACTCCTGGTGCACTCCTGGTGCAGGCTTTCGTGGAGGACGAGCCCATCCTGCCACGTGGCAGAAGAGGGAGACGCTATGCACAGGCACTACTGTATCCATCCAGCGATGAGGCGCTGGCTGTCGTCGAACACTGCAAAGCTCCGCCAGGGCGGTGACGGTGAGGCAGGAGTCCAGAGGACAGGTGATGGTATTGCTTACCAAAACGGCCACAACCCGCCAGCACAGGTCTGGACCGCTCTGAGCTCTGCCCCGTTTGGAAAGCAGCACAAGGCCCCCCAGGCGCCCAGCGCCGCGGATCACCGCGCAGCACCGCTGGTCTCAGCGTCTCTCAGCTCTTTTTGAGGAGTTCCTGGAAGGGACCCCCAAGGAGACCGAGGCGGGGCTCGCCGCACGCGCTGCTCTTTCTTAACTACGTCACAGACTCACAGAGGTGGTGGAGCTCATGCTGGGTGCCGTCGAGCGTGCCGCGGGACTCGCAAAGGGGAGCCTGCTCGGCAAGGTCCGTGCCACGAAGTTCCTGGGCCTTTGGACATGACGAGGCTGGCAGTGTGGCAGTGACATGTCTTCGGGCCTCAGGCTCCAACTCTGGGGTGCAGCTCTGCCCATCACACGCGCGGCCCCCACGCGGACGTGTTTTTTCCCATAACTTGCGACCCATGGTGGCTGCCTTAGGCTGGGCAAGCCGGGATGCGGTGGATTTCGCGTGGTCGGCGGGCCATCGCATTGGCATCGCAGGCGCGTCGGATCACCTTCCCCGCGGGGGCATCATTGGGACTTGTATGTTGCGAGTATAGTCAACTCTTGGTGTGCAACTCGTCTCATGACCCGTGGTTCCTCTCAGAATCCGGTAGGCGACTGGCTCAGTGCCACGCCGGCTCGGGCCTCTACCATTGAGGCCGCATGGCTCTCGGGAGTTCGGCTGGCCGAGCACATCGCTGCCTGGCGAGAGCAGAGCCATTTTGGAGCTTTGGAGATGCCGTCGCGTCCGGAGCAGACTTTGTGTTTGCGAGGCTCATGCAGGCGAGGAGGACGGGGACGGCGGGGACGGGTCCACAGATCGCAGCTTCAGTCTGAGATGGGTAATCAGCCGCAGTGCAAAAAGGAGGAATCCGAGCGGTCGCTCGTATTCCTAAATTTGCAAGGGCTGTTTGGCGACAGCGAGGTGTCTCCACGTTTGCGACCATGAGTGCTTCAGAGCGCATGATCATGAGGATGCCACAAGCGAGGGATCGACAGCGGCGCCATATCAGCCTCAGCACAGACAAAAAACGGCCGGCCAACAGAAGCAACTCGTGCCAGAGTCCACAATCAATCTGGAGTCTATATAGGGGAGGACTTCACTGTAACCTGTTTGCAGCAGCACTACTTGCACAGGATTCCGCAAGGCAAGCAGTCACGGATGGGGTTTGTGCAGGTGCTAGCATAGTGGCATGGGCCATAAAAGGAGTCTTGTGTATGGCCTATATTGTGTGGATGATCAGGCGAGCCGGCACACCCAAATATCTCCCCTGATCAATGCCGGCAGTTGCAATTTGCTTGGGGTCGTGAGTGTTTGGGCCGAACTCCTTCAGAGGACGCCGGCATCCAGCTTGGTCGGTGTCCGAGTCGCTTTGCTCAAGACTGTACGACATCAGTCAACGCCTGAGGCCAAGACGGAGGTGTCTTCTTACCCGTCGACGCAGATTTCGGCACAGCAGCCGGCGAGGCTGTGGCTCGCTCGACCTCCTGAAGCTCTGAAGTCCCACTGTCAGCTGCGACTGCTCGTTAAGGTTTGGGTGACCGAGCCCGCAGACGAGCCGAAGGGCAAAGGAAAAGGCCGTGGCTCTGGCAAGGCACAGAAGGATACTTGTAGCAGTGTCTTCGTGTCTCGTCGGGACTCAGTGTCTCGCCTTGTGCGCCGCAGGGTTGGAAAGGCAAAGCTGCGAAGTCAAGCCGATAACCCGATGCGCATGGTGCCGAGTCCTGTGCCCCAAGCGCGTGTGAAGCTGCGACCTTGTGAAGACATCTCCTGCGAGGAAAGGAACCTACTAGCATTGGGGGCTGCTTGTGTTGTTGTGCGAACCCTTGGACCCTTGAGCCTGGACTGCACATTGCCTGCACATCGCTTGCACATTGCCTGCAAAGCCTGGCGGCACAAAGTGGAGGGTACGGGGTGAGCCATGCAGTGCGGCTATGGCGGCTATGGGGGCTACGCCGCACCAAACCCTTACGCCAATGGCTGTGGCGGCTATGGATGGGCTCCCCAAGTGCCGCTTGTCACGGCCTGGAGGCTGGCTCTTGCTCTTGCCCGCAGCTTTCAGCTGAGGCCTTCGATAAGTGGTCCGTCTGGCTGCAGTGGCTACGGGCATGGCGAAGGGTTCCAGCAAGGTGCTACGGGCACCGCTGGCATGCAGACCGGCAAGAGCGGAAAGGATGGAAAGGGTGACGGCAAGAGCAGAGGCAAGAACAGCAAAGGAGGCTAGCGGCTAGCGTGTGCCTTTGTCGTGGAGCCTTGCAGTTGGAATCTGATGGCATCGTATGTTTGTGCAAGGCGGTGACAGAGATCGTGCACAAAAGGCATGGTCCAGTGAAGGCAACTCCGAGGCAGCTTGTGGTCCTGCATGGCAGGTTGTCATGGCGTGGCTTTGCTGGTGATGTGTGCGTGTATTCCGACATGTGCTGCTGCCGGAGGCACTGTCTGGTTTCAATGCCATGTCAGTTGCGGCGAGCAGCTATGTTAAGAAGGCCCCCAAGCAGGCTCCTGACCCTGCAATTCGCCCGGGTGCCGGTGCTCTGACTTTGGTCGTCTTGCTACCTGTTCAGGTGAAGGCCCCGGCAGAGATGAATGCACCCTCCTACGAGGAGCGCAATCCGTATCGGCTCAAGAACCATATTCGCGCATGGCACACGGATGGTTCCACCACATCTGTACCCGAGCCCTATGGAAGCTATCCAGAGGCCGGGGGGCCCAGAGGCAACCCAGGCTCATGAGGAGGCTCATGAGCGGGCACAGGCGCAGCTGCCCCGTCCGCTCTTGGATGGCTTCAAGCGCGCTGGCTTCCAGGCCCCGACCCCCATACAGGCACGGAAAGAAACAAGTGACTCTAGTGACACTCTGAGATTTGCAGTGGCTCCATTCTCAGGCACAGGTGTGGCCCATTCTAGACAGTGGCTGGGATGTCATCGGCATCGCCAAGTTCCGCGGCAGGAGGAGAGCGCAGTGAGTCTGTCTTCTTTTCGAATTACGGAGGACTGGCTCTGGCAAGACCCTGGGCTTTCTGGTCCCGGCTTACCGGTGGATGAGCGCCAGCTACGTGGCAGGTATCCGAACCCTGATCATGGCACCCACGAGGGAGCTGGCCACACAGATCCATGACGAGGCGCGGCGGTGTGCCCATCGCATCCGCATCCTAAATCGCAAGCGAATGCAAGCGACCGCCGCCACCGCCCCTGCCGGTTCTGTCGCTGTCGGGAGTCGGGAGTCGGGCCTTCGGCCACTTCGGCCTTCGGGGAGGCCAGCAAGTTCGCCGGGGCCTCGGGCTGCTCCAGCGCCTGCGTCTACGGCGGCCAACCCAAGCGCGAGCAGCTGCCGGCCGTGCGGGCCGGAGCGCCAATCCTCGTGGCCACGCCCGGCCGCCTCAACGACTTCCTGGAGTACAAGGCCACCGGCAATCCGCGAGAGAGCACGAGCTCCGCTGCACCTCACGAGTCAGGACATCAATCTATCCGGGGTGGGGTATCTCGTCTTCGACGAGGCCTCAGCGGGTCAGGTCTGAGGTGCGGCCTTTCTCGCTCTGCTGTGCAGGCCGACCGAATGCTAGACATGGGGTTCGAACCACAAATTCGGGACATCATGAAGAAGGTGGGACTGGGCTTGCCTTGCACGACGCAACTTTGATGTACCGGAAGTTTGGAGTACGGGAATGCGAGATGAGCTAGCACTGTCGTAGGACGTATCTCCACAGTATTCAGTGCTCAGTACTGTAATGGTCGCTCACTGCACTCGCGTCTGCCGCTTTTTGCCAGGTGCCCAGAAAGAGGCAGACGCTGATGTTCAGCGCCACCTGGCCCGAGGAGGCCTGGTTAGAGCATTTAGAGCATATAGTCGCCTGGTGTCCAAGCACGCTGCCTGTCTGTGTTTGTATTGTCGTTCCTCGACTAAAGAATGGATAAGACAGTCTGCTGAGCGCGAGGTGCAAAACCTCGCGCGTTGGCCTGAGATGTTGAGAGTTGCCTGGGATGCATCAGCCAAATGGCAAGTTCCAAGCTCATGAGCAGAAACAGCCCCCAGCCGGAAGGGTTTGAGGGTTAAAGAACTCCAGCCGCATGGGCGAGCGGCACCCTCTGGTCCCAAGGGGATCTTGTGCAATGGCGAGGGTTCTTGTGAGCGTCCGAGGCATGATTTCCTCAGCTCGCCCATCCATGTGCAAGTTGGCGACACGTCCTCCTTATCGGCTAACGAAGACATCAGTCAACAAGTGTGGATGCTGAATTCTTCAGACGACAAGGATGCGGCTTTGGCAACTAGACCATGTCATTATCGCGCCATCTGATGTCTTGTCACCTTCCGATTGTTGTCCCTGCCTGCTTGCCGCGCTCATGGCCTTCTCCGGAAGCTCTGAGGTAGAGGCACTGCAGCTCTATGGAGGTCCTCGCCAGCGAGTTCTGGTGTTCGTGGCAATGAAAAAGCAGTGTGATGCAGGGGTGCCCAGCATGGCGGTAGCTGCAACTCCAACTGCCAACATCCGCCCTTTCAGATGGTGATGCGGATGCTGCGCAAGTATCAGATCTCGGCCAACACCATGCACAGCGATAAGGACAACGTCGTGCTACCGAGCGCAAGCCGGCCCCCAGCTCTCTGAAACCAGGACCAGCAGCAGCGCGAGGAGGCATTGCAGCAATTCAAGACCGGCGAGACGGCAGTGCTGATAGCCACGGACGCTGCAGCCTTAGACAGCACCCGAAAGGAAGAAGCCCGTTTCGCCCGCTCGGAGGTCGCGGCACGTGGGCTGGACATTAAAGGCTGGCGCCGCTGGTCAGGAAGTCTAAGCTGGCCGTGCAGTGCCTGTTTCTTGAGGCGTGACCATGGTCTCGAGCTCGGTCGAGCTTGGTGGAGAAATGTCGGATACGCGCTGCAAGAACGGTGCGAGGTCATCAACTACGACTCCGCCAACAGCACTGAAGATCATGTTCACAGAATAGGTGGAGTGTTTGCACATGCAGGCTGGTGAAAGCAGCCTGTTGAGCGCCAGGAAGAACAGGCCGCGCGGGGCAGAAGGGGCACAGCATCACTTTTCTCACCAAGTCAGGCAGGGCATCTGTGGCTATGCCCCGAGTGCTGTGCATGTGTGCAGAAGCTTTTTGTTGTCAGGTGAGGATGCCTGGAAGGCCATCGGCATCGCAGAGGTTCGCCGTTTCATTCCCAAAAGAAGGATTTGAACCGCCCTTTGCTGTAAAAACCCATTGATTGAAAAAAGGCCTTTCTGTTAAACAGAAGCTCTCTTCTGCAACTGCGCCGGCCCTCAGCTCCCTCAGCTTCTCAGCGAGAGTTTGAGGTTATGCAGAAAGCGGGCTGCGCCGTCCCTCCGGAGATGAAGCAGGCCTGGGGTCCTGGGGTCCGGGCGCCCGCCCGCCCCCTCCCACCCTCGCGTCGGCTTCTCACACGTCCGCACTCGCAGTGCTCTCTCTGGCTCCAACGCCTTGTGCCAGTGCCAACACTCATTGTGAGGTTTCCCAAGCCTGCTGTGCAGATGCCCAGGTGTAGGAATCTCCAGTACCCTGTGAGTCACCCGTGACCGGTCCCTCTGTCTGGGGTGTCTGTCTCCGCGTCCGCGTCTGCGTATGTGTCTGCCTGGCTGTCCTGTGGCGGCATGCACACGTGTGTGCCGTGCACTCGCACTTCCCGTTGTGCAGGAGCGCATGTCCCATTGAGGTATCTTGCCAGTGTACCGCATTCCAAAATGTCCCTTGCGAGGTGGTTGATCGGATGCTGTGGAGGCGGCAGCAGTCCCAGCAGCCACGGCCCAAGGTTCCGCGTCTCAGCGCTCGTCCCAACAGCTCTGATGGGCCGAGGAACGATTCGCGCTGGGACAACTTGCCGAAGGTTCCGATACATTTCGACAGGTTTCGAGAGCCGAGCCATGCTCGAGGTCCTGATGGTGGCCGAGAAGCCTTCCGTAGCCAAACTGATCGCGGAGATCCTGTCTGGGGGCCGCATGCGCTTTCGTAAAGGCCAGCAGTGATTCCATTTGGTTTGCTTGGACTTGGCTCCAGCGGCCAGCCAAGGCCAAAGCCGAGCTGTACAAATCTACGAGTTCAACAGCTGGTTTCCACCAGCGCATCAACAGTGTCGGATCATGCAGGCCACGGAGTGTGTGAAGAAATCAAGGCGCCTCTAGTGTTTCTAGTGACTGTAAAGCAAAGGTCGCGTTGCAAAACCGAAGCCGGAATTCCCAGTCACTGCATGCACGGACCGCAAAGAGCGTACTCTAGCAGCCAGTAGCAGACTCCAGCAGGCACACCACAGGGAGCAACACATTAAGCCCTTTAACCCTTGAGCCTGAGCATTGCATCGGATCTGGCAGACCTCCACCATCGGCCATGTTTTTGGCAACTTGGCAGCGCAGAAGACGTCAACGCTTGAAGGACACTGGAACGTGATGCCCGGGGGGTGACGTGACAAGCTCCTGTTGGAGGTGGTTGCACCAAGGATTGGACTTCAAGGAGAATCGCCCGAAAGATATTGCGGAGCTTTTTCATGATCCCTGCAAGAAGACCATCGAAGATGGCACGGCTGCGTGGTGCATTCAAGCGATCCAGACCTTCAGACTTTGGCACTACGGAGCATTCCAGCCTTCACCAAGGCCAAGAACAGGATCGTCGAGCACTTCCAGGAAAGTCCTTGGATTCACCCGAACCCCCGAGGCCCTCCCGAAGCCCGCCTCGCCCCAGGAGCTGGCCGCAGAAGCCGACTACTTGGCGCTCTGGCTCGACTGCGACAAGGAGGCGGCTGCGGCCGTCGCTGAGCCGTTTTGGAGGGCATGTTGAGGGCACGTTAAGCTGCTTGGTGCATCCGCTGCCGCAGGGAGAAAACATCTGCTTCGAGGTCATTTCTTTGTGTGCCGGCCACAGACCACGCGAAGACCCAATAAACATTACTCTGAAGCTGTCCAGGCGAGAACATCCCTCGCGATAACATTTACAGGCCCCGCATGGTCGAGAGTCGAGGGTCGGAGCTTGGACCAAGCGCCAATGTCGGCCGCCTCTTCCAGCTCTCATCGCTCGCAGGGCCCAGTTCTCCGCCTTGACCGAGCCGGAGCTGCGAGGCTGCTTGGCCTGCAGTGACTGCAGTGTGCTCTTCGAGTTTTGGGTTTTGGCTTCTTCGGGCGTCGGGAGAGGCGCCTACAACAACTTGGGCCGGCCGGACAAGCTGGCGGCCCAAGCCGTGGATGCCTCAGTGGCCTCCAGCCTCCAGACACAAGAGTGAGCGGGTCTGTCTGTGACTCTCTGTGTGTATATATAATTATATACGTCTATATGTTTGCTACATGCAATGTGCGACTTTATTGCACCTCGCGGCAATTTTGGCTTAAGCGCCGGTTTTCTGTTGTGTCTGTTCCTGCTGTTGGCCTGTAGTCTTGGGGATTGTTGTCGATCAGGTCGCTGATTCCTATGACGCGATTGATGCTCCGTGCGCGTTCGGTTGCACAGGCCGACGCAGATACCCTTGGCGCTGTCATGGAGGCTCGCTTCGTCGCCTCTACCGGGCTGCAGCTGACATCCTGGAAGCTGACGCTCACTCTAAGACCAGCGGCACCCACGGGGTACCTCCTGAGCCTTGGGGACCTGACCATTGCACCTGCTCCTGCTGACCCAGGTGCCACTGGTCTCCTGGCTCTTTTGTGACATGGTCGGTTTGGTTGTGGATGCTTTTTCTGCTGCCCCTGCCAGGGCTGCTAGCTGCAGCAGCTCTGCTGTCCCTGCCCCTCCTTGCAGTACTGCCTAGCTGCCCGTTTCATTCCAGGTGGTCCCAAGCCGCTTCGTTCTGCCACGTCTCCTGGCGGTTTGCCTTTCCTCAGTTTTGCGCAGCCCACCCAGGTCAGCAATGCAAGCCGGTTGTATGCTCTTTGCCGTGATGTTGCTTTGTTGTGCCAGTCATGCAGTATCGGCTGGAGCATCGAAAATCCTGCCCACAATCTTGCTCAAACTTGTGGAATAAACATCAAACTATCATAGCTAGCTAGGTTTGTTTCCTGAAGTTGCTGCTTCCTGTCTTTACCTAAATTTTCAAGTCCTAAAAGCACTACCCTAAGCCGACTGCTGTGTCTGGTGAGCGCTTTGCTGATCAAGGTAGGCTGCTTTGTGACCTCAGCTGTAGACTCTGTAGTTTGTAGAATTGTAGAAGATGTATATCAAGTTTGTGCTTCCGAACGATACACCGTCAATAGATGGAATCACATCGTGCCCCCTGCCGTCTCATTATGAGCAAGATGACTGTAACAACGAGGATTGTCCGACTCAGAATCATTTCAGCATTGGCCCTCCAGAGTCAGTGGGGGTGTTGCTGCGGACGCCAGCATGGAGGTCTGTGTGGTTCTCGTGGATTGGGAACGGCTGGCAAGAAGTTTTGGTCTTCAACTGTTCCGATCTTGGCCGTTGGATTATTTGTGGCGACAGTGACAAGCCACAATATTGCAAACTTGCTGGGTTTAGCGAGTGTGAAAAGCGACTTCTTCTTCAGCGAAAAAGTCTTCTCAGGATCCTAGGGCTAAATGATCAAACTCTCATTTTGTGCCGTGAACGAAGACCACGGGGCTACCCGAAGGATCCAGGAGCTACCGGTCTGCGTCTCGGAGAAGGCCTACTTCGAGGACGGACGGTGGCTAGGCGAGGGCTTGAACCTCCTGAAGACCTACACTGGCTTTACGACGGATTACCTTCATGCCCAGGCTAGAGGTGAACCGCCAGTTGGAGAAGAAGATGTTGAGCTACGCGGTCCCGATGGTCGCAACAGCTGGGCTACACTTCCCGGTGAGGTTGCCAGTAATCGTCAGGGCTTATTGGACGGAGCACAGCGAGCGGGCGGTGCTTCCAACAGGGCTAAGCTTGAAGCCCATCCCGCTTGCTGACAGGGATATGCTGGGTATGTGGAAGCCCGAAGGATCGGATACTTACATGAAAGCCTATGGCGGTCGAGTCGCCCAGCTACAGGCGATCAACGCGAGATTCGGCGAGATCGATCGCGCAGGAAGAGGAGCTTTCAACCCTAAGCCCGAAACCCCTGAGCCTTATATCTTTATACCCGGCCCTAAACCCTTATTGTAGCCATAACCCTAAACTCTCATGAGTGCCTGCCGTGCCGCTGCTGGAGCATCATTTCCGGCATCGCTCCTTGCCAGCTGCCAGCTCGGACTTAACAAGCCCCAAGAAAAAGAACCCTCTCCTCATGGTTTCCTGCGTCTGAAGGATGCTGTCGAACACGAGTACCGACGGCCGCAACAAAAGCAAGCAAACACTTAAACCGTAAACCCCTAACCCGACCCGAAACCTGAAATGACCTGGTGGACGGCTCGCTCGAAGCAGAAGCCTGCAGCACCTAAGGATCGGTGGTGGGGCACTTGCATGCAGTTTCACTCGAGACACCGGCCAACCATTGCAAGGACACAAAAAAAACAAACCCAACCAAGCCGTGCCTCCACGGCGGTGAAGCCAATGGGGTTTTTTACGTGCGGCCAGGCTTCGCTTTTCAGAAAGTTTAGTTGTTTTCTTTTGCATATCCGGCCACATTTCGAAATCCCGAATGACAGAAGATGGATATGAGCGCCTCTTCCACGATGAGCCGGGTCAACACCAGGGACTTCCATCTGTCCAGCCCCTGGGAGTCACTGATGAGCACAGCGATTGTTGCCATACAGGCTAAAGTAAAAAGCCGTAGACAAAAACTGTTAACGTACGCCCAAGATTCTTCCAACCATTTCCTTCTGGGCTCCATCTCGTTTGGGTCAGGTGGTGCTGGCGCACGGGCATTGGAATTAGCTTGAGGCGGCTGTCCAGAATGCAGGATATTTCCGCTGCGCGAGCAGCCCTCTCCTCAACCCATGGCCGCGGAGACCGCGCGGGTCGAATCATTATATTAGATTGCCCTCGGTGTGAACCTGCTTGGCGCTGGTATGGAAGTACCTCCAAGTGGTGCCAGCGGGCCTCCAGTATGGAGGAGCAGAACTTCACCGAGATGATCAAGATCAAAAAGAAGGACAATGAATTTAGCAGCGAAGGCTCTGGGGAGCCCGGCTGCTACTTACAATTCGACGGCAGGCGAGCCGATCACCGGCCAAGGACGCGATGGAGACAAAACTTGGTTGCCGGTGTGCCTCTTCATGGGAGAGGCCTCTTTGCAGATGTGCATGGTTTCTTGTGCTGCTGGGGCCTTGGGTGGCCGGGCAGCGGAGATCTTGCATGGTTATGGCAGTGCATCTTCAATGCTCTTCTGGTTTCTGTCTTGGGCGATGCTGGGGCATGGGACAAGGAGCCAGAGACGGAGAAGCACGGCATTGGCAAACAACGACCTCGAGGGCCATGCAGCCAGAGGCGGAGGCGAAGTTCGACAGGCCGGGGCCCGGTTACTGCGCGCACACAGCGCGCCCTCGGCAGCCAGTGGTTCACTCAGGTGCGTCAGAGGCAAAAGGCCAGGGCCAGGGCTAGGAAGCGTAGGAGGACGGTCATGTCAGTGTGCTCTTCCTCTGCTGTGCGGCATGAGAATCAACATGATCCTTTCGAGCGGAAGTTAGGCCGGCCAATTGCATTCCAGTGCCGGTGGGCACACGCGCGGCGACTTGTTGCCGTGAGACGGGGAGCAGGCCTGCATAGGTTAAGGCGCCACGGCAGCAAACGGAGATGGGCTTTGAGGGTAATGCAATCTTCCGTTTTTGCCCAGCATGCATATCAACAGGCTATGAGGGATTTTCTCTCACAAGTGGGTGGCTTAGCAACGAGCCACAGGATGTGTCCGCCACCAGTGCGGATTTTTCATCTTTTGATTTTGGCAGCAATGGTGCGGCAGCGGGGGAACACCATAGTTGTGAACTTGCGGCCACCACGCATCAAATGAATTTGTTTGGGAGTTCTCCCTGCATTGTAGGCTCAGGCGACGCCCAAGGTCGTGGAGAAAGCCTGGATGGCCAGCCCAGGCGGGAAGGCAAGGAGGAGGAGACTGAGATCCAACGAGCCAGCGTGGTGCGGACCGGTGGTTCCCTACTTTCGGTTTCGCGTGACGTGGCAGCTCCTCGCGGTGGGGGAGATGAGACTGCTTTCTTGCAAGCCCTCCAGCAACTTGTTGAGCAGTTCGCGGGGGCCCAACCCAAGGGCGGTGAAGGCAAGGCACGAGGCAAAGGCGCCGGCAAGCCCACTTTGCAGGGCCAGCCAGCAGCAGCCAAAGGCCAGGGCAGGCAGACAGGCACGGCAAAGGCAGGCAAGGCAAAAGGCAAAGGCGAAGGCAAATCAGCCGGCAGCGTGGATGAAAGGCAGCTGCTCGCTGCAATCGCGCGGTTGGTCGACCGGGCTGCAGCGCGAGGCGCCACTGGTTTGTGCGACCGGTTGTGCAGTGTCATCGCTTCGGCAAAGGCAGGGCACTCCCTTAAGCAGGGGCGTGCCGAACGGAGGCAGCGGGCAAAGGCCAAGAAGCAGGCCAAGGCCAGCGCAGCACAGCAGCTCCCCGGCCCTAGGAAGCAGTCCTTTTACGCGGGCTTCTCCGGCCAGGCGCAGCCAGGACAGTGCAGTGGGAAAGGGAACGGGTCTAGGGACCCCGCGGGCTGGGCGGTGGATCGCTCAGCCGAGGCCATCACCGCCGGCGAGGCCAAGAAACGTCTCATTGAGCAGGTGCCGCTTAAGTCAGAGACCATCGTCGTGCGTGAGCAAGGTCAGGTGGCTGAGTTGCAGAACCTCGCCAGATTGCATGAGGTCCAGGGCAAAGTTGCGATCGTCTGCCAGCAGCCCTTGGGCGGTGAAGATCAGGAGCGTGACCTCACTTGCGTTAAGGGCAACCGGCGGAGGGAAGTCAAGCAATGGCACGCTGTCCCCCTCACCGCGGAGGGCTGCCCCACCGCAGCGCCTGTGCGCAAGCAAAGCTCCTTCCAGCCTCCCTCGCGAGAGTTGCGCACGCTGCGTGTTATCGCGGTGAAGCACTTCATGGAAGGTGAGATCTGGAAAGCCCTGCAGGCTTCGCCCAAAGATGTGATTAGCAAACTCCTGGGGAAAAAGCTGCATCGTTCCGAAGGATGGAAGCTTGTCTCGGACGCACAGAACGAACAGCTTCTTGTAGGGTATGCCACCTACATTGCCTCCGAGGCCATGCAGGTTCAGGAGGCCTCCGGCAGGCACGGGGTCTTTGTGGAGGCCCTTGCAAGGGACCAGCCGACACGGCCAATGGTCACATGGATCCCGCCAACG